GAGCGGAAAAAAATGCCAGAGAAGATACTGCAAACGCAAGGAAGGCAAGAGGCGACAGTGACTCGAGCCGCAGAAACGGCGACGCTCTCAATGAAACACAGGATAGATGGAAATCGAAAAAAAAAACAGATGGCGAATGCATTCGCAACGGAAATAAATTTAAATTTACTGTGACAATAAGCTCATTATAAAAAAACCAAAGGGCTAGTTCACACTTGTAACTACCTGTGATGCTATTGAGCTGGGAAGCGTAATCGGAGATGAGAGATGTGCTTGTAAGCTAACTGGTGCCGCACTTTGATCATTGATATCATCGAGTATAAATTCGGATAGCAGTGAATCCACCTGTTTAAATAATATGAGCGCACGTACCTTCGATACAAGTGCTTACCTCAGCAAGACCGAAGAACTTCGTCAGTGTCATATTTTCAATCAGCAACTGCGTCAAAGCTTTCAACGCAACAACAGTAAAGGCAACGCTGAAGACATTCTTGAAGATCTTAGTAAGTCAAGGTTAATGAAAATCAAGACTTACCAATGTCAAGGTGGGTGGTCACTGCCGAGCTGGAGGGATCGCAAGAAAGAAGTGGACTGTTTTCTCACTTGCCAAATGTGTAAAATATTCTCAAAGACAGAACAAAAATGTTGACGTGGTCCATAAGTAGATAAGTGGAATAGAATAGCCTCAAAGCAGTAGAGAGTCTAACTGGATTCGACCAAGTCCCAATCAATCAAAAATGTTTCTTTGATTTTTCTCTCGCAATATTACCGTTCTCTGAAAGCATGGCTTCATGGCAAACACTTACAGAAAGACTCACTCACGGTTTTGAATTGTATGGGCTTGGGTTTGGGCCCCGATCCCGTGGTTTGCATTTCCTGCCGTCTTGAAAAGGAACCAAGGTTCGAAGGCACAAGATCAATGACGTCCTGAAGCGCATCTGCACACCTCTCCAACACTTCGTGCTGTCCTGCTCTGCGACAACATCGCATCAATTCGGAAAGATGGGAAATTTTCTAAATCACCATTTCAAAAACTATATTCAGCGGCAAAGCTTACCCCCTCAACAAGCTGATATGCCTGCTTTGTTCTATCTTCTTCTAATATGTCCCTCGGTTGCTCATTCTCATTAGTTCCCTCATCCGCGATGTCTGTGCTTTCTAATGGCGTTATTCCGACGTCTTCCGAGCCGACTGCGCAATCATGATTTTCACTCTCATGCGATATAGTTGTTTCGCTGGATGCCAGGTAATGTCGAACTGGTCGAAGAAGTGCGGCCGCTAGATTTAAGCATCGATCCCAAACAACGAGAAAAGGTATTACTACCTTCTTCGACAAAAGTTGCTACAGCATGTAAGTGCACGCAGGAAACGCCGGCTTTGTATGCCTCGAAGCATGAACATTGAAATTGATATGAACAGACCCCACATCTTTCGCAGTGGGAGTTTACCTGTAAGAAAAGACGTTTTCGGTTGAAATTAATTCGTAATGAGAAAACAGACTTCCGTATCGCAGTCGCAGGTGTCAGATACTGTAACGATATATACTTTGCTCACTCGGGGTTTTGGAACAACTCTCCAACTTCGTTCATCGACTTTCACAATGGCCCCCTAGATCTGCTCTTAACGATTAAAGTGAATGTAGTAACAAAATCAATACCGGGTTTTTCGCAAAGCTCAGCGCTTCCCTATGT